CCTGTGGTGGGACAAAGGTGCTTAGCCACCAACCCAATGCAGCCCTGACCCTGGACTCAGATCTGGGGTGAAGCCAGTCCCAGATCCTCACCACTAAGTGTCACCTTGGAGTGTCACTCTATTGTTCATGGCACCCCAAGCACTTCCCATTTCCCACATGCCCTTTTGCCAAGAAGAGGGGTGGAGATGTGCGGGGAGAAGGGTTGAGGACCACTGCCTCACAGCTATAGAATCAGACCCTTACAGGTGGAAATCATCCTCGATTGCTTATTACTTGTGAACACAGTAACCTGAGAAAAGGTAATAAGGAATAATGTAAAATGTGTTTCTCCCTTTGCCCCCCTGCTCTCTCACTTCCACAATATAATGCATTCTGCTTACAAAGCACGTCTTTACTCTTAGAATGTGGTGGTGGTTGTATCCAAACCATGCCTCCACTCTTTGCTATGGCTTTGTATCTCATGGGCAAAACAACGAAACAGCAGTATATTATCTCTAGAGACATATAAATTCTCTAATTTTGGTGGTTCTGTGCTCTAAGATAGTGACAGATTTGAATCTCCTGGTAGACAGGGACAAGGAGTCCTCCTAAATTTTGTGAGCTATGATTAGACACCCCCAACCCACTCTTCTGCACCACTCCCTTGAAACCAGAGTTCCCAAATAGGAAAATTTTTAACTTTTTTTTTTATATATAGAAGGAGAGGACTCTGTGACCCCTTAAGGAATCTGGCCCTTTGTCTATAAAAAGTGGTTGAATTGTGTCCATTGTCCTTTCAGAATTCCCCAGTATCCAGACATAGCCAACTTTCTACTATACAGGCTTCCATTCAGCCAGTATATTATCTGGACAATATCAAAAATTATTAGGTACACTTAATTTTTTTGTAGGGGACAAATAGTTTATAATTATTTAGTTCCAGTTTCCCCAACCTCCAAAATTTTTCAGTAGATCTCTACCATGATGACCTCCCTGTGTTGTCCTGACCCAGATTTCCCTTAAATTGGTGCCAGTTGTCCTGCAGGAGTGGAGGCTTTACAATCAAAGCCAGGTTGCCTGGGATGGAATCCTGGCTGGTGATTATGAGCTAGTGACCTAACCTCTTTGCCTCAGTGCCTGCATCTGTAAAGTGAAGATACTGATGGTACCTGCTCCATCAGTTGTTGGGATACTACATGTGTTCATATGTATAAGGAATTTAATTTTCCTGACACCTAGCAGGAGCTTTAGGTGTGAGCTGGTACCTTGTCCCATGCGTGGGGCCATGCTTGCAAATGATGTGCAGGTGAATTCTCTGGACTGCTCCTCCTGGGGTCTGCACTAGGTAACTCCACAGGAAGTCTAGACCTTTGCCTGTGGTATGAGGATGATTTGCACATTTGTGAAAGGACGGTGGTCTCAGGTTGTCAGCATGCACTTCTGCTTCCATCCCCAGAGGTACATATAAAATATAAAAACCCAGTTCATTCATTTTTTGTACCCCAAAGCTCCATTCCCCAAGGCACAGGGAATTTCCCATCCTGTTGGGTATAAATGGTATTTTCATCAGTCCACGGTCTGGAAGGTATTTTCGCCCATTGCATTAAAAGGATGTCACAGGCTGCAGATGAAATGTCCTTTTCTACTCCATGACTGACCTTGGGAGCTAGAGTGTAAGTTGAAAGAAGTGGAGGCATATCTCTTGTGTTCTGGAAGGTCCTCCTGTTCTCTTCCATGGGTGTCTTATTCACTCAAAAATATTTATTGCGCACCTTCTGTGTGCCAAGCACAGCTGTAGGTCCTGGATACATAGTGGTAAACAAGGCAGAAGTGGTCCCTGATCTCTTGGTGCTTACATCATCAAGATCCAACAAACTCCAGAATCCTATTAGAACTTTTCATGAATCCCTTTTTCTTCAATTACAGCATTTTCTGAATGGGAACCCTACATGAAAAGAAGATTCTGAAGTGCTCCATGAATCACCAAAGAAAGGCAACACAATGGCCACTGTAGTTTTGTTGATGTACATATTTTGTTGCACTCTGATACTTTTTTGAAAATAGATAATGCATATCTGGACACATCTATAGTTTTCTTTTTTTTTCATGTCAGCAAAAGATGTCTTTTTATTACTAAACCACAGAAGGATTTTTGAATGGTGGTTGCTGGCAACTCACCTACAAGCTGAACATCAGCCACGGTGTAAATGGTATTTTCATCAGTCTAACATGTGGAAGGTATTTTCACCCTTTGCATTAAAAGGATGTCACAGGCTGCAGCTGAATTGTCCTCAAAGACCAAGACGCAGGTCAGTGATCAACTTTCATTCTGTTTTGTATTTTTAATGTATTAACAGTCCATGTTCCCCTGAGAAAGTGGAGGGTGCTGGTGCAGATGGAGAAGGCTGGGACAGCTTCCTGGTTTCCAGCCTCTGGCCACCAATTTCTGAGCTTGGATATTTTTAATGTGCAGCTCCAGACCATCCTTCCATGTCTAAGGAAGTGTGTGGACATGCATCTTTGTGAATTCACTAATGTTTCAGTACTTTAACCACAGTGGAGAATTCAGTGCAGACAGCACCGGGGTCTGCTTGGCAGCATCTGGCCAGCGGGGTCCGTGTCTGTGTGACCCAGGCCCACGTGGCCCAGCTGGAGCCCCGTTGCCTGGCACCGTGCCTCTATTTTTCTTAACATTTAATTAAACTGAATGGTCTGTTCCTTAGATCACACGGAAAATTAGATATGTTCACTCTACATGAGTTACTTCTGTGATTTTCTTGATTTCCACTCATTAGTATGTTTTCTTTGTCCATGTCCTTTGATCTCTCATGAATTATGTCTTTTCTGAGCCTCTGGATTGTGAGCTTCATGAGGGGAGGACCCTTCCTAAGCCTGTGCACAACCCACTGATGATGTGCTGACCAACTGCCGGCCTCAGGAAGGAGGGCCAGATCAAGCTGGAGGGAGGGGAGGTCTTTTCTGCTGCCTCGTGATATGTCTGAGCCCTGTCCCGGGGCCCTGCCCTTGGGGGCTGTTTTCTGATCTTCAAAGGAAAACTGTCAGGGAGAATGAGGTTGTAACACACTCCACACCTGTAGTTCTCCCTGCTTCCCTGAAATGACCCAAGGGGGTGGAAGCTCTCCAAATTCCCTCCCACCGCTAATGGTGTCTGCTTCCAGGAGTCCTGGGCAGAAACCCGAGGAGAATTGGGGAGGGTTGGTTCTCCTTTTGACTTGAAGGAATTTGATTGCTAGGAAGCCAAGAAGAAACCAGGAGTCCCAGTGCTTCACTGCAGGTACACACACGCACACACACACACACACACACACACACCTGGCCTGCCCCATCTATATCCTCAAAGGAAAAACGATTTCTTGTGAGGGACAAGACCCAAGGGGTACAGCAGACACAAGGGAGAGAGAAGCTCATACC